ACCCCTTCAGCTAGATGGAAAGGAAGAAAGGGGTCCTCTAGATGGGGAGAGATTTTGTTTTTTTGAGACAGTCTCATTTTGTCATCCTTGGTAGAGTGCCATGGCACATAGCTCACAGCAACTTCGAACTCTTGGGCTGAGCCCCTTGCCTCAGCTTCCAGAGTAGCTGGGGCTACATGAGCCCACCACAACACCTAGGGGCTACACGAGCCCACCACAACACCTAGCTAGATTTTTATTTTTTTAATTTAAATTTTTTTTTTTTTAGGGGGGGACAGGGTCTCGCTCTTGCTCTGGCTGGTCTCGAACTCCTGAGTTCAGCCAATCCACCTGTCCCAGCCTCCCAGAATGAAGGAGGCCAGCCAGGGATGAGAGACATGAGCCACTGTGCCTGGTGATCGGGAGATTAGGAAAATAAAAAACACCCGTGCTGATTATGTGGGCACTGGCCTTTCTCTTTAATGCTCACAGAGTTTCCACAAAGGAAAAACCTTGACCCCCCCAAGCATACTCTTCCCCCGACTTCCAGAGCCAGAGCTTTGATCTGAAGATTATTTGCCAAGGTCTGCACTCTGCAACAGCTCTCCAAATGCCTCGCCAGCCGATGCACTGCAGCCTGAGTCACCCTTCCAGGCCAGGCTAGTCTTTGTTTTACAGTTGGTTGGTTCTTTCCACTTGCTCACTCATCCTGGCTGGCCTCCTTCCTGCAGGATTTAGAGTCACACACCACTTTGAACTGTCACAGGTCCACAGACAAGAATCATTATTCCTAATCTGGAAAAGCAATGCAAAAGATACACATTCATTTGTGATAAGAGGCCTGTAGCTCATGCTAAGAAACACTTACTGAATGAAATGGGGATGCCCTAGTGAAAAAAGGCTGCCTCAGATCCTAACCCAGGCATCTCATTCATCTGGCCCTTGGAAACATAGCAGGCCTTTTTCTATTGTGACACTCTCCAGAGTCTCCCAAATCCCTGCTTGGTGTGTATGTGGTTCTGCACTACCAGGGAGTGCTTTCTCACATGCTACCCACTCTTATCTGAATGTCTTAGGGACAACAGGGTCACTGCAATCACGATCGCATTCTACTTGTTCCATTTTCAGAAGAGATGGAATATGAGAACAAACTAAATATTGACTCCTAGTGTGACAAAACCTTTCATTCACGAATCTTCTCTTTTTTAACGTCTTTTTACAAGCCATAGTCATGTCTATTGACCTTCTCTGGCTCTTCTGAAAGGTCCTCCCACCTCACTCTTGACAGTGGACATGAGCAAGAGTAAGTCTATTCTACCCTGGAAACACTTAGGATCTGTCCTCATCATTTATTCAGGGGCCACTTGCCAGAGGGAGATGCCCCAGGAAAGGGAAGCCATCATGCAGGTACTGCCTGCCCTGTGCCCTGTGGTTCCATTTGTCAATCTCTCCCACCCAAGAAGCCATCTCTACTGCCTATTAGAGGATAAGGGGTCACTGAGGTCCTGCACAGTGCTAAAGGGACACAGGGAGCATAGCTCATGCTTGCCAGTCACTACCCCATGATTTGCCTATGTCTATCCCCAAGCAGTGAGGAGGTAAACATACATCTTTCTACAGAAAATAAAAACCAGAGTCAAGAGAAAAAAAATTCAATATATGAAACTTTTCTAAAGTCAGACTTGGGAATGGTTGGATAGCATCCTGAAATCCCTTCTTAGCCTATTTTTTTTTTCTTGAGACAAAGCCTCAAGCTATCACCCTGGGTAGAGTGCCATGGGATCACAGCTCACAGCAACCTCCAACTCCTGGGCTCAAGTGATTCTCCTGCCTTCCCCTCCCAAGTAACTGGAACTACAGTCACCTGCCACAATGCCTGGCTATTTTTGTTGTTGTTGTTGTTGTTGTTGTTGTTGTTGCAGCCATCATTGTTGTTTGGTGGGCCCAGGCTGGATTCGAACCCACCAGCTCAGGTGTATGGGGCTGCCTTAGCTGCTTGAGCTACAGGTGCTGAGCCATTAGCCTATTCTTTTAACTGTGCTGAATTATGAACAGTCACCTCTAGGCCTTGTTCTGGGTTTGCCTGGAGCATAATTTCCCACTTGGTCTTCGAGCGAAATTATTATTCATCCTTTCAGATTTAGTTTGGTATTATCTCCTACAGGAAACTTCCTCTGTCCTCTGCCAAACCCTCCCAAAACCTCCACCTTCCCATTATAATACCTTTGTATTATAATTATCTGACTGTCAGTATATTTCCCTCAGTAGACTATCTAAAAGGCACAACATACAATACCAATATCTGTTGTCTCTGTCCATAATGTCTCTGTCATATGGAAGGAACCCTATAAATGTTTATAGAATAACAAAATTGGCATCAGTGACCAAAGAGTACAAATATCCCTTTGGCTCTTAGTAGACCACTTAGGCAGCTTACAACCTAAATTTGAAGCAGGCCTAATGTACTTAAGATTCTCCATACTACAGACTCAATTTCTTTTTAGGAGCCACAGGTAAGAAATATAATCTGACAAGTTTCAGTAGATACCTAAAATTTCTGGAAAAGTACAAGCTTATAAAAATGACTCATCCCACCTATTCCGTGAAATTTGCCAAATCTCTTCTTTGGAACCTCTTTTCTTAAAGCTCCAGATGAAGGGGGAAAACAAGAGTAAGAAGCAAGCTCTGTTGTGGACAGAGCATAGTTCAAGGACTCCTTAGCCAACTCTGCAGGCAGTTGTTTAAATTGTTTTGACATTGAAGACCAAAGTCTTTTATTCCAAAAACTGTGACCTGAAGTCCAATTCAATCCCTATACCTCCCTGGATTGGCCTCCCTCATTTCTTCATATGGACAGTTATTTAAACAACACATATTATTTTACAATGGTGACAGTAATTTTTCATAGTGCATACTAGATAGAATTAGAGAAAAATTATAGATACTGTCTTATGCCATACAATTTGGCCTGGCAGAGACTCATTGACTGTTCACTTTTGAAGCCAGCATGTAGTTGCAACATCTACTTCTTATAAATTAACTCTCTCTTCTTTATTGTTCCTGTTCTGTAAATGACTAAGAGAGATGAGAGACCAGACTTTCTCCCCTTCTAATCACTGACTTTTATCATAGAGTAACTGACTTTTTTGTCCTATGCAAAACTCAGACTATTAAAAAATAATAAAGAATATTGATTCCTATTCCTAAATTAAAAAAAAAAAAAGCAAACTAGATAATGCAAAAGATTCCCCATGACCGTTAGATCTTCAGTGTGCACTCTAGGAGGCCAAGGTGGGTGAATTGCTGAGCTCAGGAGTTTGAGACCATCCTGAGCAACAGTGAGACCCTATCTCTAAAGAAAGATATAGAAGCCTGTAGCCCCAGCTTTTTGGGAAGCTAAAGCAAGAGAGTCACTAGAGCCCAAGAGTTAAAGGTTGCTGTCAGCTGTGACCCCACAGCATTCTGAGGCAAAAAAAA